CGATTGGCCGCAGTGCAATGGCCTAATTGGTTCCGAGTGCTTCCTTCTTCCACATGCTTATTTATTTGCGCTATTCCATGGTTGGTTGGGCTAATGCAATCCTTGATTGAACATCAGGTATGGTAGCGTTGTGGATTCTTACAGCAGAATGCAAATTAGCACAAAATCACCTATCATCCATTTAGTTTGATTGGTTTGTACCGTTGTATTTTAACCCTGAACGTTACGGTATGGATTCCGACTGGATACGGTATGAAGCAACCGGTACTCATACGTACTACATGGTCTGGAATGTGGTACTAATGGTGATGCCATTTCCACTATATGCTGCAGCTCTTATGACATTATTTCGAAGGCAGGCAGAGAAAACGATCAGTAGGTTTTATATTTGACTTATTTAATGTTCCTCATGAACAATTTGCAGAAGTTCGCCAAAGGCATGCGCGTGGTGTGCCGCCCTCATTATTATCCGTTCAGCGACAAATGAGTATTGAATCTCGCTTACTAATCCCGTGCATTATCAATACCGTACTATTTGTTGTGGGACAGGTAATAGTGGCACAAATTGTGCAGCTCTTTCAATCATATAAAAAAGGTATTCTAATTTTTGGGTGCATATACCACTTTTCCATTTAGATATTCATCTCAATGTGTTCAAAACATGGAAAATGGATGAATTGGGCGGTAATGGTGGTTTTCACCGCCAACTCTCTCGTCAATCCACTGCTGTACCTGTTTTTCAGGTAATCTCTGAATAAACTCACGAACTTATGTTCAGCGATCTCTTATTTTTACAGTAGCGTGATACGAAAAGGTGTCATAACAGCATGTCGTGATCGACTCACAGTATCAGCAATCTACGACTATGAGTTGCGATCATCAAGTGGCGATCAAAGGAGTTCGCTTATTCGTATGAACCGTGACCTAACCATTACTTCACTTAATCGGGTTTTGAATATCATTCCCTAGTCCAATATTCATATTTATAGTTGAAAACCACGTTCTATCATACAAAATTTAAACTTATGATTTCAGTTAGGTCTCGCCTTTGATTTTTTCACCAGTGCTTCATATCATAATTTGACATAATTTTTATGTTTGTTAAATTATATTTTTCTTTTGTCAAATTTTGAAAATGTTTCGAAATTCTTGTCCTGCTATTCGAGTAGACCACTAAACGGGTCTTAATCTACAACTTATGTGATTTTAAATGATGGTGATCTCA